GTGCCCCATATAAAATGGCATAGTGTTTGCATATAACCTACACATATCCTCCTGAATACTTTAAATCATTTCTAGATTGCTTATAATACCTAATATAATGCAAATACTATATAAATAGTTGTTATACTGTATTTTTTATTTGTATTTTTATTGTTGTATTTTTTGTTTGTATTTTTCCAAATAAACGAACAATGGATTCTCGGTTGAATCTGAGTGTGGAACCTGTGGATATGGAGGGCTAACTGTTTGGGTTGGGTACTATCCCTGGTTTCAGACATCCACTGGAGTCTTGGAATGTATCCCCCTCACATAAGAAGGGACTGCTGTATCAATTCCTACATGCCTGCCTTTGATGTAACCTCTGAGTACTACTTACATCCTTTAGTTCACTTTATAGTAGAAATTTATAGCAATATCAGTAACAGTGTTGCAGAGGGAGGAAGAAGTGTTTTTACTGCTATTGAGGGTTATTACATTCATTTTGTGCTGTGTTCTGTATGGCTATTTTCTGTCTTTAAGGGTTGGGTTGGTTTTTTGTGTTTTTGTTTGTTGTTTTTGAATGCTTCTTGGTTAAACATTAATAAATTGGACAGTCCTAGATCAGAGTTTCAAAGGAAAGCCATGACCGATAGTTGCCACCTGACTAAACCCAACCAGGACTACTACACTGCACAATTCCAGGCAGTGCCATTCACATTTCATTTACTGACTGCAGCTCTATTCTGTACATTGGTGTCTCTGGTATAGTTTGACTTGGTTTGAAAACTCAGTTTGTCTAGGATTTGCATTTAGAGGAATGTAGGTGCTCAGAAATCAGTGTTGAATTATATTGGTGGCATGGCAAGTTTTAAAAATTTTATGCTAAACTCAATTAGAAGAGTATTTCGTAGGAAGTAGAAAATATACAGGGAGAAACAACCTGTAACAAATGGGATTTGAATCCTAGCTCTGCCGCGAGGTGACCTTGGGCAAGATTATTTAATATCTTTGACCTTCAGTTTCTTCACTTGGCAGGGGGGCATGTTTCAGTTAACGTACATAATGTTTCCAGCATGTGAGTCACCTAATAAATGGCAGTAGCTGTAAGTTGAGTAGACCTTTAATTCTCTCTCTGTTCCTAGGGCAGAGAAGTAGATCAGGGCAATTGGGGTTGGAAAAATAGCAAGAACAAAGATATACAAGATAAGAAATGGCATGGTACCTTGGGGACATTTGCAGTTTGGTGTTGCTAAAGGAAAAGTACAAAGCAGGGAATGACTAGAGAGGAGGCTGGAAAGGTCATTCTAGAGTAGGGAAAGGAAGACTCATGCGCCATGTTTAGGAACTTGGTACTTTATCTTTTAGGAAGTGGAGAGCCAAAGAAGATTTTAAAAAGTGGAATGATGAGGTCATATTCATATTTTAGACAACCCTGGCTAGAAAACTAAGGGTAGTTTTGAGAGAGCCGAGAGGCAAGGGGATAGTGAAGAGGCCATAGAAATATTTTACACAAGAGATAATAATCCAGTTTAGGGTGGTGACAGAGGAATGAGGAAGATGAGCATCTCTCAGAAATATTTCTTAGAGGCAGGGCTTGGTTCATCAGGGAGAGGGATTGGGGAGGGTGACTCCTAGGTTTCTGGCTACTGGGTAGATGATTGGAAACAAAGATGGTAAAGTTCAGGAGCGGGGAGATAATTGAGTTTTCAGCATGTTGATTATGAGTGTCTTTGGGGTATCCAGATGGGTGCCTTTCACAGGCATTTGGATGTGTGAGTCCGAGGCTCCAAGGAAAGGTCAGGCCTGGAGGTTCAGATTTGGGAGGTGTAGGTGTTGTCAGAACAGTGAAAGTTGATGAGATCATCCAAGGAATGAAGACTGAAAAGAACTTTAAACCATGTGCTGCTAGAATACTGGGAAACATGAATATTTAAGTGGAGATAAACATCTAAGAGGGAAATGGAGGAGGAAGTCTTAGAAATAGGAGAACTGAGCTAGAGTAAGTCAAATACACCATTGTACATAATCAGTCTTCCTCATTAGAGCATAAGTTCTTCAAGGTTGGGACCCTTTCCACCTGGGAAAGTTCATTTCTACTGTTAGGGAGCACCAGGCTAACAGTGGCTGAATCTCCAAAGAAAAGAGGGATAAAATAGTGTGATGCAGTAGACTGATCCAAGAAGATTTAGACCAGATTTGGCAATTAAAGCAGTTGCTGTAGAAAACAGAAAGCCAGATTGTGGTGGGTTGAAAAGTGAGTGGGAAGTGAGAAGGTGGAGGAAGCCAAGATACTTATTTCAGAAGGGAAGGAGAGAGGGTGGTAATTTCTTTGGGGGCCAGAGTTCCCTTCAGATTGATTATTTTGATGCAATTTTGCCTCACTTTTCAGCTGATATTGTGTGTGTTTTTATAGGTACCATATACAATACAAATGTACCACTGTTTTTAAATGAAGTATGAAACAAATTTAAAATATGGTATTACCACATGGAGCCTTTATCTGCTCTAACGTATTTTGATTAGGACCAGTTAGTGAATTGTTTTTTGTTCTCTTCCATCAACTTGCCTTCTCTGTTTCCTTTTCTTGGGCATCACCATCAGATGGTGATGGCTCTTCTAGCCTTATCAGGCTAACTACCTACATATTCTTTCTCACAGGCATTTCCCCTAATAAAAATCCTTGGGTGTTTAATTCTATCTTGGTATCAGCTTCTTAGAGAACTCGTACTAAACTTCAAAAATGTTTAAATATAGTATATTTTTGGGTTAACTGTAGAAGTAGCATGATACAATTGACTGATTTTGATTTGATTTGATTTGATTTTTTGAGACAGTGTCTTGTCACCCAGGCTGAGGTTAGGGGCACCATTACGGTTCACTAGACTCGACCTCCCAGGCTTAAATGATCCTTGCACCCCAGCCTCCCAAGTAGTAGCTGGGACCACAGGCATGCGCCACTACACCTGGCTCATTTTTTTATTTTTTTGTAGGGACAGGGCCTCACTTTCTTGCCCAGGCCTGTCTCAAACTCCTGGGCTCAAGCAGTCTTCCGGCCTCAGCCTCCCAAAGTGTTGAGATTACAGGTGTGAGCCACCGCGCCTGGCTTGATTAGTTTTTAAAAATAAATATTTAACTCGTTGGGAACTTTTTCTAAATAACTTGATTACAAAAACGACTTGCTGATACTGAGAGAGAAAGAACTAACATTTTTGCCTTCAGACGTACTTGACTATCTTGAAGAAATTGAGTCAAAATTTTTAGCATTAAAATGAACCTTATAAGTTTTGGTATGTGAACAGGAATGAAAACATAATCAAATGCCTTGTTAGTAGACTACATTCTGTCTGATTTAACCTTCGATATAACTAAGGTCAAATAACACTAAGTTACAGGGAAGAGAAGAAAATTAACATTTATTTAGGACTTGTACGTGGGGAGGGTGAGGAGTTGGAATGTTAGAGTAAGGACTGTAAGGCTGGTGTACTTCAAAACTACACCACTAAGTCAAGCTTCAAAACACCCTGTGCGTGTTCTTTAGCTTGAAGAAATAGAAGTAGACAATACATTTATATAAAAAATCCCAACACTGGAAGTCCTGGAGACTCAGGTCCAAAAATCCCCCTGCTCGATCATTGACCTGCCTAGTCATTTGTTTTCACATTGTGGGAAGTTACAGAAACAGTCTGCGAGACCATCATTGCTGACAGCAGTTTCAAGTTTGGCTGTCCTAAGACCACCCTTGAGTTTGATTATTTGCTAAGACTCACAGAACTTACTGAAAGCTGTTAGGCTCAGATATGTAGGTTTTCAGAGGTTATATGTAGCTAGTAATGGTGGAGCTGAGATTTGAACTTAATGACTTCCTAACTTCAGAGCTGATGGTATTTTTGTGTGTTATTTATTATATAAAACTGCACATAAAAAATGAAATGACAACTGTCTTTTCTGCTTGATATTTAAATTATTGGTGGCTTTCAGTAGAGTGTTGGAGGCTACTACCAAAGCCATATTACAGAGAATCGAGAAATGATTGAGAAGAAGAGAAAAGGGGCTGGGCACGGTGGCTCCTGTCTGTAATCCCAGCAGTTTGGGAGGATCTCTCAAGCCTCGGAGTTCAAGACCAGACTGGGCAATATAGTGAGAACCACACATCTCTAAAATAAAAAACAGAAGGAAAAATGACAGTTCAGCATCAGACTGGTATTCTGAAAGTCTTGTCAAGGGAAAAGGGAAATGCAGGGATAGCTAGAAAGATGAAAGGGTAGGTTTGATATTTATAAAGATGAGACTTTTTTTGAACATGACTAGTCTTTTTACATATGTTATCTCATTTAGTTCTTTGCATTGAAGTAGATATCATGTTTTACTGATGAAAAATTGAGGCTCAGAGAGGTTATATTATACTGGTAGTAAGATGGGAATAAGTGTACCTACCATAGGCCACTGTTGTGAGGATTAAATGGGGACAGTCTTTGTCAGAGTAAGAGATCAACTTTGGAGACTTTCTCTTTGAGGAAGCCCTGGGCCTTCATAACAGTGCTTGGCCAGAGTAAGTACTCCATAGATGCTAGCTATCGTTAGATATTTTAAAGTCTCACTTCATAAAAATCGGTCCCCTGAAATTTAGGAGAAGGTACATCAATAATTTCTATTGTGTTTCTTTGTTTTTTAGAGATGGGAGTCTCACTATGTTGCCCAGGCAAGTCTCGAACTCCTAGTCTCAAGTGATCCTCCCACCTTGGCCTCCCAAAGTCTTGGGATTATAGGCATGAGCCACTGGTGCCTGGCAAATTCTGTTCTTAATGTTTCAAAACTGCTTTTTTTCCACTCAGTCATTTAATTGTCCCATTGGAAATACAGTTTAGTTGCATACTTATTCCTATCCAATTGAAGTAATAATTCCATATTGATATCTTTACATACTAACTTTAGGTGTTATGTATTCTGTTTTTGCTTTGTTTTATAATTTTGGGGGTTTTTTGTTTGTTTGTTTTATGTTTTTGTGTTTTTTTAAACTCCAGAATTAAACAACCACCATGTCGAGCAAAAAGGCAAAGACCAAGACCACCAAGAAGCGCCCTCAGCGCGCAACATCCAATGTGTTTGCCATGTTTGACCAGTCACAGATTCAGGAGTTCAAAGAGGCCTTCAACATGATTGATCAGAATAGAGATGGCTTCATCGACAAGGAAGATTTGCATGATATGCTTGCTTCTCTAGGTAGACTTTATATTCTTTATTTGTATTTTCCCAAAAATAATAATTTGTCTCTCTATGAATCATTTTTTTGTGTGTGATGTACAAATATTTCTCTCCTTGTCTCAGAAGGCTTCTAGAGAGATTTCCAGGTGTGGGAGGTGCCATTTTGGGGCTTGGCCAGTCATATGGGGATAAGCCTATAAGGTTGGGGACCTGGCAGATGCTGTGCCCAGGTAGACTAACGTTCCTGTTAGCTAAATTTTTTAGGTCTCTAGATGGAAAGCCAAGGCATGGCTAGGCAGCAAAATACCAGAGTTTCAAATAAGTATAGCTAAATAATATACTCAATAAAGGTTGAGTACGGGTTATAAACAAGGAGTGACAGTAAGTGATGATGGTTATCTCTGCGGAGGAGGGGCAGTGCGACTGGAAAGGGGAACAGGGAAGACTTTCACAATATTTTGTATGACTTTTTTTAATAACTAAAGAAAATGTAAAGATACAGGATTTAAAGCACACATAAACAGCCATTTGTATGTTGGTATATGGGTGTTAATATTCCTTTTATGATTTTGTTATTGTTTCTTTTGATCTTAAAAAGAAGGACAGGAGGCAGCATCCTACATGTTCTGCCCAGAGTCAGCAGTTATTTTACAGTTGGGAGTCAAGGAACTGCAGGCAAAGGAGACCTTGATAGGCCAAAGCGGAGGGGGTGAGGCAGGCTGGGAGCGGGTCAGGGATGGCCTACAGTGAGACTTTGCACTCTGTCCTACTGCTTGGCTGACTGGCCAAAAAGGCAAAGAAAGAGGTGGGGGTTTTTTTTTTCTTTTAATGCCTACAAAATGATTAGCTAGCTTTTATTCTTCTAACTTTTGATTTTGATTATTTCTCCTGACACACTGAAAGTAAAGTTTAGGTGTGTACTTATTCCTATCCAACATACGATTTTGAAAAATTTTAAGCCTACAAAAAGTGGAAAGAACGTTATAGTGAACACCTATACATCTTTAGCTATATTCACGGATTGTTAACATTTTGTAACTTTTGTTTATCCAAGGTGAGAGTAGAATCAAAGATTTTTATCTGATTTGTTGACTTGCAGTGAGATTATAACCTAGTGTTTCTCACATTCAGAATGTCTGAGTATATTCTTGGGCAAGTCAGTACTGAAGAAGGCCTCTGAGGAAAATTGAGGAACTTAGCCGTCTTCCAAAGATTGAACTCTCAAGTCTATACTCTGCTTATAATAGATGCTCAATAGATATTTGTTGAATGAACAAGTTGTGGTAGAGTCAGAGGTTGTCTTTGAGGCCTTCTGTTTTGCAGAAACCCATCCTTTTAAAGATATGTGTTAAAAGAACAACTTCAGCCTAATTAAATTTAAGGGAGTTTAACTGAGCAATGAACAATTTGCGAATCAGGTATCCCCCAGAATCACAGCAGATTCACAGAGACTCCAGTACAGCCACGTGGTAGAAGAAGATTTATAGACAAAAAAAGGGAAATGACGTACAGAAGTTGGAAGTGAGGTATGGAATGGCTGGATTGATTACAGCTCGGCATATGGCTTATTTGAACATGGTTTGAACACTCAGCAGTGTATGAATGGTTGAAGTATGGCTGCTGGGATTGGCCAAGACTTAGCAATTGTTACAGGCTCGTACTCCTAAGTTAGGTTTTCAATCTTGTCGGACTATTAAGCTAGGTTATAGTTCATCCACAAGGACTCAGATGACAAGTTCGGAGTCTTTCTCCAGCCATATTTAGTTTGCTTTAGCATATATATTTACTTTTTAGGGGAACCTTCATACATTATTGGTAGGAATGTAAATAAGTACAGCCACTGTGGAGGACAGTATGGCGGTTCCTCAGAGAACTACAAATAGGAGCTCTCCTACGTGATCCAGCAATCCCACTGCTAGGGACATACCCCCAAAAAAGGAAATGAGTAGTATAATTGAAGAGGTACTGCACTCCTGTGTTTATTCCAGCACTATTCACAGCAGCCATGATTTGAAAACACCATAAGTATCCATCACCAGGAACAGATTTTAAAAATGTGGTAGTTATGTACAATGGAATACTATTCGGCCATAAAAAATGAGATCCTGTCATTGCAACATGATGGAATGGAAGACATTATATTAAGTGAAATAAGCCAGGCACAGAAAGATAAACTTCACATGTTCTTACACATTTATGGGAGCTAAAAGTTAAAATAATTGAACTCATGGAGATGGAAAGTAGAAGGATGGTTATCAGAGACTGGGAAGGGTGGGGAGAAGAATGGGAATGGTTAATAGATACAAAAGTATAGATAGAATGAATAAGATCTAGTATTTGATAGAACAACAAGGTGACTGCAGTCAGCAGTAATTTATTGTACATTTTAAAATAACTCAGTATAGTTGGAATGTTGGTAACACAAAGAAATGATAAGTGCTTGAAGGGATGGCTATGCCATTTACCTTGATGTGATTATTATGCACTATATGCCTGTATCAAAGTATCTCATGTACCCCATAAATACATACACCTCCTGTGTACCCATAACAATTGAAATAAATACGAATTTTCAAAAGATACGTATTTACCTTTCAAATCAACAGATTACATTGTGTGTTTTGAGCGGGTCCGTAAGTGCTTAGCCTAAACCAATTCATTTTAAATCCCTGTAGCTTTTTGTACCCTAGAGTTCTCTTCACACCTTTTGGTTACAGTTTTTCTTCCCCCCAAAAAATGCTGCAAGTGATTGGGTTAAATCTGGAGGTAGGAAAGTAGATCTTTTTTTTTCTTCTTCTTCTTCCTTTTTTTTTTTTTTTTTTTTTTTTTGAGATGGAGTCTCGCTGTGTCACCCAGGCTGGAGTGCAGTGGCGTGATGTCAGCTCACTGCAAGCTCTGCCTCCCATGTTCATGCCAATTCTCCTGCCTCAGCCTCCCAAGTAGCTGGGACTACAGGCACCTGCCACCATGCCTGGCTAATTTTTTGTATTTTTAGTACAGACGGGGTTTCACCGTGTTAACCAGGATGATCTTAATCCCCTGGCATTGTGGTCCGCCCGCCTTGGCCTCCCAAAGAGCTGGGATTACAGGTGTGAGCCACCGCGCCCAGTCGAAAGTAGATCTTTTTAGCTACTTTAACTTATTCAGTGAATCTTGAGTTTAATTTTGGGCTAATTTTGATATTGGAGCATTGAGTAAGTGTAATCAGGTAGGATTGGAATGCAGTGAAATAGATGCCAACATGATGTTTAAATTTCACCCAAATTCCCAGAGTTAAAACTTACATATGAACTATAATTGTAGCTTTGATTGTCATTCTAGCTTTGGCTTAGTTGGGTGTAATTTTGAGATGCTTCCTTAGATACGAATATCTGACTAATAGATATTCTTTTCATGTAAAATCATATAAACTTAATGTTGGAAGATACCTTTGAGATACAAACTTTAACCAGTCAGTGTTAGATTTTTTTAAAAAAGAAGTAAATTCTACATAGGGCAGCACTGAATGAAGGGTTTGAATGCCAGTTCTGCCACTTCCTCCTATGTCCCACAACCAGTGGTAGAACTGGGATTCAAACCCAGTATTCCAGACCGTTGGTTCAGTGCTGCTTCCCCCACACCGTGTGGCCTCAGAAACACTCCCACCATGTCTGGCCATTCCAGGGAGATTTCTTCCAGCTCCTAGGGAAAGGCCAGGGGAGTTCACCGCTGCACTAAAAGAACTGTTCACACTTGGGATGGAGATTAAGATTTCCCAGTACAAACAATACCAAACAAGACCACAGTTCAATGACGTGTGTAAACAGTGTTTGAAGATATCTAACATTGTTCAAAATAAGCTCCCAATTCAAAACCATGCTAATAGTTTAAACTTAAATGGCCAACTTATAAATACAACTTTGAAGCATACCAACTCATGGGCATCCGTACCACAACTGGAAATGTGAATATTTAGATTGTTTTGAATGACTCTATTGAACCGACTCCCCTGATGAACCGTTGATGTTATCAGCATTCAGGATATAGGCTGGGCGTGGTGATGCACACCTGCAATCCTGTCATGTTGGGAGGCCAAGGCAGATGGATCACTTGAGCTCAGGAGTTCAAGGCCAGCCTGGGCAGCATAGTGAAACCCAGTCTTTACAAAAAATAAAAAATTAGCTGGGCGTGGTGGCACATGTCTGTAGTCCCCCCAAAAAAAAAAAGTTGTAATAATGTGGTACTGCCCGGCTTCAGGTTTTTGTTTTGTTTTTAATGAAAAATAAGAGAAAGTTCACATAAACGAATAAATAGCCTTCAGTGTAAACCTGGAATACATTTTTATAATGATGTATCAAATATTTTTTAAGTTGTCAAAAATAATCTTTTTAAAATGTTCTTAAAGTTAATTGAAAAATTGGTGTCAAATGATGTAAATTTTTAAAATATGTTGGGGAGCATAATAGTGAAATAACTATTGAAGTTAGATTTTTTTGTCTTTAAATGTTAAAATGTGCATTTTTAACAGGGAAGAATCCCACTGATGCATACCTTGATGCCATGATGAATGAGGCACCAGGGCCCATCAATTTCACCATGTTCCTCACCATGTTTGGTGAGAAGTTAAATGGCACAGATCCTGAAGATGTCATCAGAAATGCTTTTGCTTGCTTTGATGAAGAAGCAACAGGTGAGTACTATTTGTTTATGCCCAGCCTCATTCCAGACTATATGAAGTACTTCTCTTGAAATAGAAAGGGTTTTCTTTTTTTACCTTTGGGAAAATATTTGCTTAAGAATAATTTTGTAAGTATATGATCTGTTTCTGAGCTTTTAAATGATTTGATCTAATATTAACACAGAACTCTAAGAATAATTGGAAAACATAATGGTATAGTTCATATAGCCTTAGTTCACTAACTAACTTTGTTTCTAGATATGGATATTCTGAAATATTTTATAAGATTGACTAGCTTTAGAAATGAACCGTTAAAGTGCCAGGAAGTAGTGATGACTGCTTTCTTCTTTCTGTTGCCTTCCAGGCACCATTCAGGAAGATTACCTGAGAGAGCTGCTGACAACCATGGGGGATCGGTTTACGGATGAGGAAGTGGATGAGCTGTACAGAGAAGCACCTATTGACAAAAAGGGGAATTTCAATTACATCGAGTTCACGCGCATCCTGAAACACGGAGCAAAAGACAAAGATGACTGAAAGAACTTTAGCTAAAACCTTCCAATTACATTGTCTTACTCTGTTTTATTTCTCAGACACTTCCCCCACCCTCATAGAACCTGTTGCATGCAGCTTAGTTTCACAGCTTTGCCTCTTTTTGATGTATTTATTCCAGACCTTTCTGCCACTTAGCACTTGTATAATCAGACTGGAAATGGGGATGAGGGTGTAAATTGTATTGAAAAAGAGATCGCGAATAAAAATCAAGAAATGTGAAAGCCCAGAAAAATATATTCGTATTTCTGGTTTTGCTGGATTTTTACATTTTTATATAATAAAAATGTTATTTTGAAATAAAGATTATGCTGACTCAAATGCAGTGTAATGGCAAGTTAAACAAATGAGTGATAGGTGTGGTAGTCCTTTTTTCAGGTTTTCAACTTCATATGACTCAGGTTTTATGGTAAAATTGATTTTTCACATGTATGGGACAGTGTTCTTCAGAACTTTTAAGTACCCTTTAACATTATTATGCAGTGCAAACTAGTTATGCCATTGTTTCTTTCATGCTTCTAGTCAGATGTTTATTAAATGATAAATATAAATATATCTGGGAAAACATTAAACATTGCATTCATCTAAGATTCTGAGAAGAGGCAAAATTCTGAAGATTAGTTGTTGTACATTTACTGTATGTGGAGCATTGTGCCTACACAGTTTTTATTGAATCTTCCCAGCAGCCTTGTGGGATTTTTATTAGCCTTGTATTTCAAGTGGGAGGACTTAGCATAGTTGAGTAGTTGATCAGGGTAACTATTAGGACATGAGAGTTGGAATTCCAACCTAGGGCACCTAACTTCAGAGCTCGCAGTGCTGGAAGCACGGTACTGTCTATGAAAAGCCCCAAATTTCTAAAAGAGTCAGGACATTTCTGTTCTGTTATGATACAACTCTGTAGTCACTATTGAAATTTAAAATAATCTTGGGGTAATTGGCTATTGGAACAGAATTTCAGAAAATTCTATCCCAGGTTGAAATAAATAATACTATTGTGTGTTTGAAAGCAGTTCATGTAACACATAGACTAGAAAGCTGAAAGACAAGGTTGCTCTGAGCATTTAGAATCCTTAAGGCCAAAGTATGAGAATAAAGAGAACAATCTAAAAAAGGAAAAAATCAGTTTTAAAAAATTAACCAACATTGTTCAACACCGATTTCTCCTCCTAAAAGTATTGTGATGGTATTTTATCTGCTTAGCACCAGAGCATTTATATGTTGTTTAATATGGGTACTTTACAACTTGGGGTAGTAGGCCAGTCTGTATTCACTTGCTAACAGTTAGCCTGGGCCTCCTTTTATCATCAGAATGAGGGGACAGCTCATGAACTTTCACATTACCTAATCTTGGTCTCTGAGGTATCAGTTCTACTTTATATTAATAGACCTGAGGTTTAGACTGAAGCTCCTGCCCAAGATCTAACAAATACAAGAATCCACATCTGGCTCTTTTTTCCACTTAGAAGCTTAAAAGTCACCACAAAGTGTCACAAAACCAGGTGGAGAATTGCTGTGTGTTTCACAGGAAACAGGAAAATATGGTGGGATAATCTTGATGATCACTGAACCACTGTCAACCACCTGTTTTGTGCCTGACACTGTTGCAAGGGTTGGGGATAACGGGGATGGGACAGACAAGGATGCTGCCCTGGGAGACTGCATTCTCTGCTGGGAGACGATCCATGTGCAGTATCAGGTCAGTGCTGTGCAGAGAACTGGGCAGGCATGACAGGGTGGTCAGGAAAGGCCTCTGAGGGGGTGGTAAGCTGAGATCTGAATGACAGGAAGGAGGTCCGGGGCCCCTGTGAAGATCAGAGTGAGGCTGTCCACTCCAAGGCACGCGTGGCAGGAGCATCGGGAGAGCACATGGATGATAGGGGTCCAGGGAGGGTATTTGGAGCAGAATCCTAGTGTGAAATGCAGGGAAGAAAGGTGATGTACATTCTTAAAATCAGTGTTGGCGCTGTGTCTAGAATGGAGGGGCACCAAGAGAAGCAAGAAGGCCAGTATGGAGGCTGTTGCCATTGTCCAGGCAAGAGCGGGCAGCGTGGACTCAGCGGGGGAGATGGTTATAAAATGCCTCTCCAGGTCCTACCTGTTTCCTCCCCTGCAGCTCAGCCTTGTTTCCATCTCTGGCATAATTGTAACTGTGCTTATTGTACTGATCTGCTTAAAGCCAGATTTGAAAAATTGAGAGAAAAGTTTTGAAGATTAAAAACAAAAAAACGTAGTTGTTTCTCGACTGCCTTATGTTTACCTGACACACTGTTCTGTTTCATTTATATTATTTGTGAAGAGGTTTGTGGAATCCAGTAGTGGAAGACACCTGGGCCAAGACCTTGTTTCTTTTTGGTGTCCAGTAAATATTATTAATGATGACAATGAAAACTTTGCCTACTTAATATCTTTCTCCTCTTGAGAACCACATAGTGACAGTCTCCTAATTTGGTTGATCCCATGGCCACTGCAGTGAGAATGTGTGTGTGTGTGTGTGTGGTCCCATAGTGAACATGTACTGAGTATTCACTATGTACTAAGCACGTTACACAACTGCCCTTTGAGGGTTTTTTTTTTTTTTTCTTTCTTTTGAGACAGAGTCATTCAGGCTGAAGTATAGTAGCACAATCTTGGCTCACTGAAACCTCCACCTCCCAGATTCAATCAAGTGCTTCTCATGCCTCGGCCTCCCAAGTAGTTGGAATTCAGGTGTGCACCACCACACCTGGCTAATGTTTGTATTTTTAGTAGAGAGGGGGTTTCACTATGTTGGCCAAGCTGGTCTCGAACTCCTGACCTCAAGTGATCCCCACCCACCTCGGCCTCCCAAAGTGCTGGGATTACAGGCGTGAGCCACCGCGGCCGGTCTGAGGTAGGTATTTTTATTATCCCTATTCTACAAATGAAATGTCAAGGGGCAAGGAAGTAACTTATCAAAGTTACACAGGGAATAAGCAGGGGGGCAGTCACCTGAGCCCAGGCAGTTGCACTCCTGCCAAGAAAATGATTATGGAAACACCACCACTAGTTTCTTATGGTCATGAACCAGTTTTACAAGCATGTTACTGTGTTTGATTCTCAGAACTCTAGGAAGTGGATAAAGTAGGAATTGTCATCCCATTTCACAGATGAGATTACTGAAGTTACCTGACCTGCTCAACTTTGTATAACTGAAGAAGCTAGAGGAGTGTCCAACTTCTAACCTTTTTGACCAAGGTGGGTGCTTCTCATTAAACCTGTAATTTCCTAATTAAATAATTAGTACCTGTAGCCTGATCAGAATGTCTCACAATGTATATATTTAATATTGTCTATCCTGAAAAGCAGCAGTTACACCGATTTGCATCTCAAAATTGATATGTGTTAAAATGTAAGAAACAGAAATATAAAATAAATTTATATTTCTTAAATTATAAGAAACAGTTTTTGAAATAGAAACATAAACTGCTGAAAAATCGGGTATAAAATGGTCCCTTAGAAACATCATCTGGGAAATCTGAATAAGGATGTAAAGGATTATCACATACTAAAATATCAAGAAAAGGTTTCTTGTATAGAAAAATGATGAAGATGACGGATTGCACACATCACAGTCTCAAGTGAATCTTTTTTTTTAGAACGGTTGTCATAGGCAATTTTAGAGACAATAACTAGAAGTGTCACTAGGTGGCACGATTGTTCTTAGTATAGTACTGTCTTAACCTATTCCCTAATGAATGTACAGTACTGTCTTAACCTATAGTATAGTACTGTCTTAACCTATTCCCTAATGAATGTGAGCTAGAGCAGCCAAATCATGAGTATGTAGTATGTATTGCCAGTAATGCTATATTGCCAGTAATGCTGTAACTTTGTCAAAGTTGTTTCTTAAATAATTGATGAAAAGTCTTACAATTAAGTTCATGCTATTAAGTTCATACTATTTCATGAACCCCAAATGTAGGGAACAATCTCTAGGACTCCTTTTTACAAATATCAATGGCAAATTCCCTTCCCCTTCTCCACCCCTTTTGCCTTTTCCTTCCCCTTCCCCTCTCCTCTCCTTCCTTCCTTCCTTCCTTCCTTCCTTCCTTCCTTCCTTCCTTCCTTCCTTCCTTCCTTCCTTCCTCTTTCCATCATTCATTTACAAGTATTTATTGAGTGCTTGGAAAGTGCCAGAATCTCAGCTTGGCTCCAGCTGCTTTTACACAGAAATAACGACCTTTATTGAACATAAGACCAGACTTTGCACTGAAAAGACCAGACTTCCTCCACTTACTGACTTGAACAAGTCGTTCTTGTTACCATTACTTCTATTTTAGAGATGGGAAGGCTAAAGCACAGAGCCAGTGGGTATGTATGAAAATACTTTGTAAAATTATGCTTTATATAGGAATGCTATTATTACCACCTCAGGAATGTTGAGAACTGTATCTATTATAGTTCTAGATAATATACTCTAATAAGGCACCTAAACTGATTAAAAACAGCTCTAGCACAAATGACTATAAGACAGCTTCCATTTTTTTCTTTTTCTTTGAGACCGAGTCTCACTCTGTCACCCAGGCTGGAGTGCAATGGCATGATCTCGGCTCACTGCAACCTTCGCCTCCCAGGTTCAAGAGATTCTCCTGCCTCAGCCTCCCGAGTAGCTGGGACTACAGGCACCCGCCACCACACCCGGCTAATTTTTGTATTTTTAGTAGAGACAGGGTTTTGCCATGTTGGCCAGGCTGGTCTCAAAAGGTACAAAGGTATTTTGGGAGATGTGTATGAACGGGTGTGTTTAAATATAAAACTGTTCTAACATGTCTTCTAGACCAGCCTAATCTTTCACAAGCCGCACTTGACAGCAGTATTGCCAGGACACAGGCTTCCTTTCAGACACTCATTCTGAATGAACTTGACGATGATTCATATTTCCCCGTGGACACTGGGAACTAGCACAGCAAAAACCAATCTGAAGACCTTCGTCTACTCGCATTTTGTAACAATTCGAGTGTAAATTGAGATTGGCTCATTTGGGAGGTTGTGCTTACTGTACTTTTCTCAAGTAATCTTTTTATACAATCTATTTATTCAGTTCTTACTTACTGAAGTGTACATTACATCTGAGAGCCAAGGGTGATAGCAAAACTAGGACCCTTCTCTCTGGGAGTGTTTTAATGCCCAGCACTCCGGAAGCA